ATTTGCTTTAACTTTTTTTTAAAGGATTAATTTTAATTTAAACTAATCAAAACAAATCAATTGATTTGCCTAGCTTTGCGTAGAACTTATTGCGCGTCCCGAATTGCGTACGTTTATGCATTTTGGTTGATTACAGTCAACCGGCCGGTGTCTGCGCGCGCGTACCAATATAATTCCTCGTATTATTATCATTGTTACGATTATTATTATTACCGTTATTTTTAATTACCCGTCATTTCGGTGACTTTAATCACAATATCATAACAAGACGTGTGTGCGTGCTGCAGTAAAGGTTACCGTTGTAATACACCCTTTCCGCACTACCGCTGCGGTTTATTAATATACGAAATAGCAATTTTCATGCGCGAACGATGAATCGTTAGGTAGTATTCCGTCAAACGGCGAGATAATAATTTAATATTTATATGAATTTCTGCACGCCGTGGTATGTAGTGCAGTCATAATAATAATACGTGTCTAAATAATAATATTGCAATTACTTATTCTTAAAATCGTATACCGCCATATGTATAATTTGTTGTTATTGTTGTAAATAATTAATGCATTTTTTTTTTTTTTTTTTAACGAGCAGATACTGATGACAGATGTGCTACTGTCGTAGGTAGGAAAGTCGAGAAGATAGAATATACAAAGTTATTCAAATCTGTGAGCAACGATAAATCATTGCTAACGAAAAACGATTGGGAGCGAAGTTCGGTTATAGGCGTTTTGAAGGGCCTTCATATTTACAATTTTCTTATTAAAACTTTTTTTTACCACTTAGTACAACTTATAACGAACGTTCTGTTAAAATTCAAAACATTTCTGTTTGGTCAAATATTTGTATTCACAGAGATACTCTCGAATAAAAATTACGTAATAAACTTACAAAATTAAATGTGTATAACTAGCTAGGAATAACTAAAATAATTAAAATAATAAAATCGTACGCGGTAGTTTGTCGTAAATATTTGCTGTTTAACCTATAATTTTGTTCCTAGTTTATTCGAATTTTTTTTTAAAAACGCTTTGGAAAATCAAAAAATACACCAACCGGAAAAAATTTCGTACAAAGAAAAATGCTACACAAATATATTACGAAGTGATAAATCGGAGAAAGTTTTCTGTTCAATAAGTTACTCACCGACACTAAAAAAAAACAGCGCACACACACGCATAATAAAACTATTGGTTTTACTTTGCTTCACTCCGAATCTAAGCAAGGAAACAAAGACATGAAACAAAAATTATAATATACACCAAAAATGATATAATTAAAATTATTTAGAGAATATTAAGTTACAATGAAGTGGCAAAGAATTTATATTACCAACCTAATTATTGCTGTTGTTGTTAAGTATTCTGTGTGAAATTTATTTTTCATGGTTTTTTTTTTTAACGTTTTTAAGCACTTTTTCGTAGGGTTTAAGAGAATATAATTCTGGACTCTCATTATAACAATATTATAATATTATTTTAACGCGATTATTTCTTGCGCCTTAGTCAACACGATAACACTATAACTCGGGTTGTACAATATCATAATATTATAGTTACGCACCCATTTGGCTAATGCGAATCTCGACGATTAACAGTTCAAAATAATTACTTCTACCTACGTCCATGTGTATGTAATTTTCTCATATATTGTCACATTTAATTACGAGATTGTATGTTATCAATTAGGTACCTATGTACTAGGTATATATTAATTATTATGATAACGTTTAATACATCCCGCAGATGTTCATTCGAGTACTCGTCCGTGAGTTTCGTAATAATATATTACATAGGTATAGATGTAATACTATTAAACAGAAGAAGAGCGTGCATCCGAGTAGGGTCGTTTAAACATATTATTTTTAAGTGCCAAAAAAAAAAAAAAACTGTTACTTCGCTCGGCGTATTTTATTCTTTCCGTGTTTTGATACTATACGCGTGTGTCTCGCGTCCAATCATAAATTATTGGAATCCTTTTGAAAAGAAAAAGAAAAAGGCGTCGTATACAATGTTATCTTTTATAATGTCGTCGGTTAACACGGAAATCGGTTGCCGACCGAGACCGCGAATTTTTCATGGTTCCCGTGACGTTAAAATTTTGTAAAAATAAAAATATTTATGTATATACTTACGAGATATCGGATAAAACAACTACATTTTTTTTTCTTTTACTGGTCCCTCGGGTATCGTTTCAAACAGTTTCTACCTACCATGTATATTTATTCATTTCGCCAACGCCTATAGGTATTAGTATACCTAGGTATCTAAAAGGTAACGTTTATCATTCAGTTTATCAGAAACTTTTTTTTTTTTTTTACTATAGTTTACAAAAAAAAAAAAAATATGTACGTCTCGTATACAGGTGTACATGTGAACAACTCCACAGACGATGCTTTACACGTGCGTAGGCGTTGTTTTAAAAAGAAGAAGTCTATTCTCTTTACAATAGTTCACGTGGCCAAAATATTTGGTATCAATTGAAAAAACGACCACATCGTGTGTATGACACTATTTTTTTATTTAAAAAAGTTCAAAAATCAATTTGTTATTGTATACATTTAATCCAATAATAAACTGAAGTAAAATAAATACATTTTCAGCATAGTCCGATTACTATTTCGGAAAATGATTTGATTTCGCATACTACTTTTCTATATGTTTTATAGGAAAAATCTTTTTTTTTTTTTTTGGAACTAAGAAAACATAGACAACAAATCAAAGAATTCAAACATGTTTTCAAAATTAAAACTAGGCGAGTGGTAGTGGATAAATAATTATACTCTAGCTATATAATTGATCTAAAACGTTATATTCGCCCGTAAAAATGATCATACTCTTTCCTTAAAAATGGTTATTGGGTCGTAGATTATTGAAAATGTATTACCATTAAGGTGGTCATTATGAATTAAAATGAACCGTTTTAGATTTTTACGAAGTCGGTGAAAATTTTGATAAGCCCTATAAAAATATCCCATCAAAATATTTCATCAAATTTAAATTCTCCACTTCCATCAAAACAATCAAAACGAAGGAGTCCGTAGATACTTGAACAGAAAACTTTCAAGTTAGAAAAACTTGCAGCGTGGAGAATAAAGATGACGTAAAAGAAAACTATTAGAAAACTACTATTTCTCCAATAGTCATTTCGGACAATCTATTAAATATTTTAATAGTTTGCTAGACAGATTTTAATAGTCCATAAAAAAATAATTATATAAGAAAAAATGAAAAAAAAAATACAAACAAATTGGAATCTCATTTCTGTCGCCACCTGGAATTGAACTAACCGAGACCCTGCTTAACTTAAACTAACGCATTATTTACTTTTAACCTACCCACCTAATTGTTAAAAAGTTGATTTTATGACTATATAAGTATCTATTATTTAGTCAATTTGAAAATATTATACAACTCCAATTTACAGTAACATCTTGAAATTGCGGAATTATCGGGAATGGAAATTTTATCCTTCTCTGCATAGTGGAAACCAGTGCCATTGAGAGGGGAAGGGGCACGTACCCCGTATTTTTTTTGTTTCTTTGTTATGTCCTTGTATTTTTTTATCGTACAGTAAAATAGTAGTTTACAAAAAAATTTTATAGTACCCCTCCACCCCCCCCCCCAAAAAAAAAAAAAAATTAGCTACGGTACTGTTAGACTCCTACGAATAATGGACAATTCTATTGACCTCGAGAGTTTGAACATTTCTTTAGTCTACATTTACCCTTATTTAATTCAACAAGAGGGTAATTATGTAAGTGGAGAGGTGAGGTGGGGTTAATTTCAAAATACTATGTAAACACAGTATGACACGTCGGAATTGAGGACTTTTTTAAGGAACGGGAATATTATACGAGTTCACCAAACTTAACTTCCTCTTAATAGCAGCTGATAAAAGTCAAAACCTTAGTAGGTACTGGGGGGGCACGTGTCCCCTCCCCCAATATTTTTAGTTAAATAGGTTATTTCGGGTTTTTAATAGTTCTAAAAAATAGTAAGTTACGAATGGCGGCAGCGGATGGTGGTAGGGTATACCTAGAATCTACGAAGTTAAGTTTAAATTTCACTAACTATAAGTTTAAATTATATAACTACTTACTGTAATAGTAACCTATACGTTATTATTCACTACTAAAAAAACTGCTTATTTCATTAGTTAACTATTAAATACTAATAGTTTTGTTTTTTACTAATATAAAAAAAACGACCGGCCACGGGGATAAACGGATCGCCGCGGAGTCCGTGGACATTGAACGCACTCGAAAGCTTCAAGCACGGGCGGCTTGAGAAATTTGGATAATCGCTCCTTAAAAACGCGCGGTCGTCGTGGGACGCCCGTGTATATTGTATCCGCGAGATTCGCGTAAATACGGGGGCGTTTCATTACATTTAAACATAATACGGTAATAACGTATAACGGTATTAAACACTTATATACCTACTCGTATACTTACGACGCGCGCACGTCTCGTAAAACCTTGAATGGGCCGGGTATACGGAGAGGAAAATAAAAAATAAAAAAATGGTAAAATACTAAAATGCTATATGCATATTATTATTATTATTATTATATATATAGACGTGTATACACGGTTTGAGGAACGTACGCCTATCCGAACAAAACAGAAAAGGGCAAACACGTTTTGAATGGGAAATACTTATACAGTATAATATCGTATACATATATTTATATATATATATTTATTTATACGCGGTGCTGTAGGTGTACATTACGACGACTTAACGATTGCACGGGTATACGTTATAATACCATATACTTACTCAATAATATCTACGTGAAAAGCGCTAACGGCTAAAAACATTATGGAAAACGTCCGCCATTCCGCCCGGCACGAGTTGAATTGCATCCGCGCGAATTAATTTATAAATTCCCGCGAGAAACGAATAACCGGCCGACGGAAAACGCCGAATTTTGATAGTGGGTACCTCTGTATACAAGTTCGAGCGCTCGAACTCAAAAAAAAAAAACACACACACACACCGATGTACTCGTATTACACTAGGAGATAATGCAGCGCGGCACACGATAACACAATTATAATGACTTTACAACACGACGACGTCTTGTCGCCCGGTACAGAATATTTAACAATCATTCGAAATTCTCTGCGTCGTTTCGGACTGAATAATTCAATACCCGTCCGTTAGATGACTATCGCCGAACATCTAAAAAACCTAACCGACAGAAATAACTGACTGAATAGTAAGTTATTTTATATCACTATTATACATAGTTACAGACTTATAGAAGATACATTGTGCCGTACGAGATTTTTGTCGAATTTCCCCAGTAATAATCTCTCTCTCTCTCTCTCTAAAAGTTAATTCGGAAAACCTTTGAAGAAAGGAAAGATTATATTTACCGAAAATTGAAAGACATTCCCGAGAGCGAACTTAAACCAACCAAACTATCAGTAAACCGACCGTAGGGACAAACTTCCAAAATGTTTTTCCCCCACACACATTTGTTTATACAAATGTAATGCTAATACGGTTTGAAAAAAAAAGTCACTCCCTTGGAAAAATAAATTATACTTTACAAATGTCTGTTCAGTATAATCCAATAGGTAAATATTGTAATGAATTTTAGATTCTGAATTAAGTGAGGGATATATTGGTTTTAAAATTATGTTTCTTTTTTTATAAATATACTGTATACAAAAATAGTAAAATTTAGACAGAAAACTTATAGATATTCTAATTTTGTGAGTTTTTACATATTTTTTTCTCAGTAGGATAAAATTGTTAGACCAAAAAGAAATGTATGCAAATTTAACCGGAAATTCATTTTAAGGTTGTTCTTGGTCAACAACAAAAAATTGGGTAAAATGCAGTTTTTTTTTTATAATCATTTTAATATAAAATAATGTCGACAAAAATTTTAAATATTACAGCCTTTTAAAACATGTACAACCGAACTCTACTCAGAATCGTTTTCCGTTAGCAATGATTAATCATTGCATACAGATATACATCAAATCACTCTATAACCTACCTTTATTTCTACTATAATTCTCCCTCTCTCCATCTCTTTCTATAAATATATATAATATCTATCTTTTTGGCGCTATTTGTTAACATAACTAAAATATCCCTCTGAGCAAAATTAACTCAAACTCGGGAATTGTAAGTGTTTTACAGGTTGATTAATGTGATACAATTGAGTTGAATTTTAATTATTTGAACATAATTATGCGTTATTATTGGAATAGTGTATTATTTAAGATTTGATTAACACACTTAAGTCCCACCTCCCGATAAAACTAGAGGGCTGAAATATTGAACATATATTGTGGTACTGGAAAGAAAGTGCTTTTTGGAGGTTTTAACTCTTAATCCCTGACCCCACTATTTTCATACTCAAATGTATCGTTTTTACAGAAAACACCGGGTTTTGAACACCTCTATTACAAAATTACATAAATTAAGTAACGACAAAGACAGCTAGGAAAATTTGACTCAATTTTTTTTATATAAATATATATATATATATATATATAAGCATTTGGTAGTCAAATATTGACAAAATTCGTTATAACCATCAACAATTTAAATATTTTTAAATATTTTAAATTTAGCAAAAAAAATGTTTAACCCAGCTCCACGTAGGTATTTTGTTAGTTGGTGTTTTATTTTTCATGCGAGATTTTATTCCTAAATATTTAAACGTATTTATTTGGCCATACATAAGTACAGTAGTTCAGTATAGGGGTTTTTGTTGATTTATTTAATGTTTAAAGGCTGAAAAGTTCCAGAATAAACTTTTTGCCTGTGTGGAAATCTAAAGTAGTCGCTCCTTCTGCAAATAATCAATTATAAATTAATTTTTAATATTTACTACAACAGTACAACATGTCAATAACCGGAGGCCTACAATGGTCGCAATAATTATTATAATAGAAATTCGGAAAAGCTAAAAAAACAACAAAAATAATTCGGAAATATTTTTCTATATAAAGATATAGAATTTATATAGAATAGATATTTCTATATAAATAGTGATTTTGAACTTATAGCTCAATTTTTTAATTTTTTCGTACGCAGCACTATTTTACCCAAGTTTTTACTATGAAAATATTTTATACCGGTATGAAACATATTAGGGTTTCATCATTTCTAGAATATTACTTTATTAGTCTATTCGCTACGAATTTATATAATAACAATATATTATTTCCGTAATCTATCATATAGTTACGTCACAGGATATTAACATTATTATCCGGTACTTTGAACTTTACCAGAGGCTTCTGAAGTACCCAAAGATTTTTCAAAGGGGGTGGTTTAATTTAATAAATACAAATTACAGTTGAACTTCCCCAAACAGAGAACTCACAAATAGCTTCCTAAGTGTGATGGCCTTTTTTGACTCCACCTAATATCTAGGTCTCTATAAAGGCCGTTTTTCTTAACATATTCTTCCTCAATCACCGGCTTAATTTAAAAACACTGTTTGTGGAGTTTAAACCCACCCTCTCTCCAGCTGTATATGACCTCTTTAATTATGATATTGGCCATGTAGAACTGAATTTAAAAGTTTATCAGTATGTAATCTCCTCCATTCGTTAGTCTGGACATCAAAGATTGGTCCAAATATTTTTCTGAGAAATTGTCTACCGCCTATATTATTATCGACGTGAAATATCTGTTAGGGTAAGAAAATAACCATATGGTAAAAGGACAAATTAAAATAAAAAAACCCATACTATGGTATAAACAATATAAAATCAGTATTTGATAGTATATCCTACACAAAAATTTTATATTTTTTCATTAAACTTCGTTGAAAAATATTTTTATTTATTTTTTTTTGGAAAATAGGAATTATAATATCAAAGAAAATATAAACGTATATAAATTTAAAATGGGCTCATTGAAAATCAGATTGTTTACATTTTTATGTTTACGCGGTGATACGTAAATATTAAAGGTAATCACTCCTTAAGGACACTAAATATATGATCAAATTCCTTTTATTCAAACGTTTTCGGTTCTTTTTAATATTGTATTTACTATTTATATCAAATATAGGGGAGGAATTTGAACTCAAAAATAATAATATGTAAACAATATTATAATATTATAATTGTCATATTATTGCGATGAACTGGCGAAATTACACGGTATAAAATTCAATAGTATTATAATAAGATTTTATACTTTTAAATTTGAACTTTCCAATTTTCGTATTTATTTATCTACACTTTTAAACTATTCAGTTATTGTTTAATACGAGTTCCATTCGCCTGTACATTTATTATTGTATTTTACCGAATATAGTTGTATAAGTTTAAAATGTTCACGTTGAACATTTCAATATTAGGGAATGGAAAAGCTGGGCACTATAATTATAGTTAGAAAGTTAAAAGAATTAAGTAGAAAAATTAACTTTGTTGTAATCATTTTTAATGTAATCAATTGGTTTAGATTTTGAATAACTTATAACTTAACGCGTTGTTTTGGATATTTAACCATTAGAATGTTAAATTTCAGGTTAGAATCTAAACTAACACGTCAAATATAAATAGTAACTACTAATTTTTAGTTTTAAGTAGATAGGTAATTATTTCAAAGTACTCGTATAGTTGTATACAACTTATACGATAATAATATTGATACATTTAAGAAATTATATTTAATAGATATTTAAATGTTATTTTTGTTATATACTAATAATAATCGCTCGCTCATCTGTTATTTTTCATATTCTGTTTCCCATCGATTTATTTCTTTGAAACCTTGTCTATCATCCGTTTAATGCATACCGCAAACCACCAACCATCCATTAACATTTACCATTGGATTTGAGTTTAGCTTCTTTATACAGCCAATATGTTTAGATAAGTAGTATGTATTAATTTTAGTCTTAGTTTTAGTCTTAGTCTTATCAACTCTGTCTAATTTTTTTACCGTTATGAAAAAATCCTAAAAGAAATTCAAATAAATTACCATCAGGTGGAAAAGCAAATTGTATAATATAATATTTTAAAATAATCTACTGAAATACACACTATTGTATTTACTACTGCACACTTTGTGTGCTACTGTACCTGTTTTAGGTCCTAAATTTTATCGGATGGTAACAAATCAAATGCTGCACGCTGTACTTACGTACTTATTCGTATACAGTTTGTGTAAAATGTTTTGAAACAAGGATATAATTATTTATTCATAGTATAATGTATAAACAGCCTGTGAAAATTAAAGAAAATATATTTATTGTGAAAATTGATAAAAATATCTGAACTTCATAGATCACTTGAGTTTCGATACTGAACCCCATTTAACCCGTGTCAAAAAACACATGTCTGATTTATAATATGAAAATTCACCTAATCTAACTCAACTATTATTAAAACTTAGATGATGCGTATATGTACTTTAGAATTAAAACTCGCATGATCCATATTTTGATCTTAAGAAAAAAATAGATATATAGATGACTGAAATATAAACTTTTAACGATAGCTTAGACTCTCTCGATCCAAATTGCATAAGAAAATTCATTTTGAATATCTTAAAAAAAAATAAAAATTTTACTTTTATTTCGATCTACTCACTTATCGTGCACCCAATACAATTTAACGAATTTGTCGGTGTAAATACAGCTGAATAATTTTCCATTAAATTTATATATGAAATACTGTTCATTTATAATGTATTTAAAATTGTCGACTTAATAATGTTCGATATAGGCACGTCAAGCTAAATGCGTTCCGAGGCGTTGGACGCGAATAATGCAACATGGAGATAATTAATTAATTAATATTATCGGTTTCAAAGACTTTGCCGATATCAGGCGGGCATACATTATAATCGTATTATTAAACACTAAGACTTCTGTATCCGTGCGCAACTTCCGTAATAAAATATTTTCATCAAAGACTATAGAAAAAAAAAAAAAAAAAAAAACGCAAGTCAATTTACTGTAATTATTTTTATTATTATAGGAGCCTACTCGCTACAAAGAGCCGTGAAGATAAGGAAATTTAAAATTCTATTAAAAAATGTATAGTTTAATTATGTTACCTATTTTGTTTTCAGCAGTTTTCAATTTAAACATTTAAAATTAAAAAAATGTGAACAGATAGGCCACTGTTGAAGATAGGCAGTTGAAAGGTAAGGTATACAGGGTAATTCAGTTTGATTACTTTATGTAACGATAAATCGTAAACAAACAAAAAAACCATTTTGAACAGAGTATTATTA